TTTAATGTAACTTTTCATCTTGTTTCTTACATTTCTAAGATTAAATAAATAAAAATTGGTTTAATTATTTAAGAATATTGTTTCATAATATGATTTTAACGGGTAAAAATTTTCACGATAAGTTTTAAAATGTACTTACCGTCCGGCTTGGTTTTCCAAAAATCATTCGCATCGGAAGCGGAAACACCAAGGAACACCCCGGTACGCGATTTTTTTCAAGGTGGAAGGATTGATACCAGCGTCAATCAATGCTTCATGTGTCACTTCTAACATAATGCGAAGTTGCGGATCCATTACATGCGCTTGTTTAGGAGATATCTTGAAGAAAAAAGCGTCGAAACTGTGAAGATTTTTAAGTTTGCCAAATCTAGAAGGTGAACCGTAAAGGCTCGGTTTCCAACGTCGTTCGTCCTGCGTCACCATGTCCGTCCCTTTCATTAAATTTTCCTTAAATTCTTCAATATTTGATGATTCAGGCAGACGGCCTGAAAAATATCGATGTATTATAAATATTCATCTTATAATAAAATTGATGTTGTATCATAATCACTTGAGGTAATATAATTATCTGAAATGCCCGCAATGACAATATCACCTTCAAAATAAGTAGGCATCTTGATCTTCGAATAATAAGATTTTGCTTTAACTTTTCTATCTCTCTATAAAAATAAAAATTCTTTCTTGTAATTTTAGAATGCACATATAATCGTTTTATTAAAATTGAATTCTTGTATTTTTGTTTTTACAACTTTTACCTCTTTATCTCTTTTAAACCTTCAAATTTTATAGAAATTTTCAGCACTAATAAAAATATATTAATACTCGATTTACAAATCGAGAATAATTTTTATTATTTCAAACTTATGCAATTAATGTTAGAATATAATAAAATGGATAATAAATATACATAAAAAATATACTATTCTAGTTCTTTTTTAATAGGCGTTTCTATCTACATTTGATTATCGATTTTCATATATACGCATACACATTTTAAAGTTTCATTAAGAAATAGCTATAAAGTTATCTATTTTGTGATATTTTTGTAAACAAAATTAATATCGGTTGTATCATCACGAACAACGAATACAAAATCGCAATTTTTTGTACAATCGCGTAATGTCTTTTTCTTTATTGCAATTCTGTTGAATAGTTTTTATAAAGCAATGAATTGCATTTGACTTCATTATTCATATGTTTATTTCACAACAGAAAACTTTGTCTGTAAATCCGCTTTATACGCGACACATGTAAGCAGTTATTTTTTAATAATGTAAAATATAGAGTACCACCATTAGACCGTTTTAGGAATTCTTGTATTGTACATTGGAGTAATAATAATATTTGTAATCTCTGTAATTTCTTATAAGCATCAACACTGTAGCAATTTGGAAATATTTATTTTTACTTATCGGTTTTACTATAAACGGAATCTCTTGGTATTTCATTTATTAATCTAATCATTTCTTATAAACTAATTATACCGGTAATTATATCGTTTTGTTGTAATTTGTGTTGCATCAATATGCCACGTTCCATTCCATCAATTTTAAAAGTTTACCATTTAAATTCTCGTATTCTAAGCAAGAGGAAGATCATGAAACAACGATTTTTAGAACATTGTTTGGTAAGTGTCGGAAATATTGAACAGACTCAAACAGAGAGTACCAAGTTGAGAGGTATTAAAAAAAACAAACGAACAAAATTGCAATTCAAATGTTCTAATTCACGCACAAATTTATTTAAAAAATTTTGAGTAATATTTATTATGGAAAATGATTTGTTCGGAATTTAATATGAATATTGCTATTACAAGAAGAAGATAATGATTGAAATAATCTTGTCTTAAAATTCTCTTGAGAACTGGAACAGAATAATGAAAGTCATGTTTTTCAATTTTGCTTTCCAGTGGAGTAAATCTTATATATAACGCGGCATACGATGCATATATTTTGACAGTTTGATTGCCATAAGCTTTCTATTGATGACATCAATGACATACACAGAAAATGGAAAAGCTCGAAATTTAATATTAAACTAATAATAATATCTTTTTCGCGACATCGCCATTCACGCAATGCATTCTATCAATCCCAATTCCTCAGATAAAATCTGTATTGAGATTCGAATACGCGCCGATGTCTCACATATGGTTTAGTTTCAAGTTTCTTTTTGGTAAGGTCCCCTACCCTTTCGGTCCCATATGGATATGGTGACGGAAACTCGGCTGTATGTCCTGTAGCCTGAGAATGACCGGGCACTTCTTGACTTGATTTCTTACAATAAACACGCGGTTCAGCGTTTCTCTTAGTTTTTCACTTTGGCAAGTCTTGTGTGTTTTCTTTCATTTAATAACCACGTCCTATCACAAAACGCGACATCGTCAACAGGTTATGGGCCCAGATGACGCTAAGAAGGTGAATTTCAAGAATCTCGGAGATTCATGTATTTTGCAATTGTAAAGTTCGTGTTATAGACACTGGACAAAGACGGGTCGATTGCTCCGATCTCATTGCTGTGAGTTTAATGAAGTAGTTTTGTGTGAACGGAAGAGTCGTTTTTTTTTTCGTTGAATCGTCTTGGAATCGTGCGGTACATTCGGACAAAGAACTAGTGCGATTCGTGAACATTCTGGAACGAGAAAATCGTGTTCGAACGTGCATACAGTTTTAACTACGGTCAATCGAGCCAAGTGAAGTGAAATCGAAGCCAAGTGAAAAGAAGTCGGACCTTTTTTTTCTTCCCTCGTTTTTGTTCTGGACCTTTTTTGTGCGGAACAATGGAGAGCGAGAGAATGGGAATTGACAGGCTAGAGGGTACCAATAATTGGCTCACATGGAAATTTCAAATACGGCAGTATTTAGAGGCAAATGAGTTGTACGATTATGTCGACGGTACTATGACTATTCCAGAAGGTGTTGCAGGTAATGCCGCTGCAATTACTGTATGGAAGAAGGCGGATGCAAAGGCGCGACGTGCGATTTCGGCTGCATGTCATAGGTCCGGTTTCACCAACGTGATTTAATCTAATCGGTCGATTAAATCACCAGAATTGCCAATAACAAGACTTTAAAAACGAACGTGTTCCTAACCTATTCTTGTCGCGTATACGCAAGCATTATAACCGTGAAAGTGGGAATAAGGGTTGAATTATCATATAAAATGAATTATATATTTGATATAATTAATAATTACGAGAATATTAACAACGTTATGGATTTCTTAGACTACGACGAATACGATGATATTCCTGAATATGATGATAATCCTGAAAGAAATGCAAGAAGAGAACGTATATTTCAACCACGTATTAATTATTTTGACGTTTTGAATGACAAACTTTTCGAAGAAAGATTTAGGATATCAAAACCGGTCTTCACAATGATTCTAGAAAGAATTGAACATGTAATACGACATGCCAGCGATCGGTATGTACATTTATAATGTTTAAATTATAATTATATTTTGGAGATACTTTAATATTATGTTATACATTAACAGGAATAATCCTATTCTTCCTGAGATCCAATTAATGGTTGCCTTAAGATTTTATGCAAGTGCATCTTTCTATATGGTTATTGGTGATTTTTCTGGAATTAGCAGAGCTAGTGTCCACAGAATTGTGCATCGTGTGTCTAATGCTATTGCTACATTAAAAGATGAATACATAAAGCTCCCTTCCACACATCAGGAAATTGTAGAAAATGAAGCACAATTTTTTAAAATAGCTAAATTTATCCATGTGATGGGATGTATAGATTGTACACATATAAAGATCCAATCATGTGGTAAGAACATTTGTACTATAGTATATAAACGTTTGTATTTTGTACAATGTTTCTTTGTTTTCTAGGAGGAGAAGATGGTGAAGTATATCGCAACAGAAAGGGATACTTTTCTATAAACACACAAGTAGTCATAAATGCAAAGCTTGAAATTATAGATATAGTTGCTCGTTGGCCAGGATCTGCACACGACTCAACTATTTTTGACCATTCAAGAATTAAAACTTTACTTAAAATGGGCAGATTCGGCGACAGTGTACTCCTCGGAGATTCTGGATATCCAACTTTGTCATATTTAATGACTCCTTTATTAAATCCCACAACAGCAGCAGAGCATCTATATAATGAATCTCAGATTCGAACTCGTTCAGTTCGAACAGTTCGAACAGTGAACGATGTTTCGGGATGTGGAAACGAAAATTTCCTGTATTAGCGATTGGAATGCGTTTTAACAGGATTGAAAAGGCACTTGTTGTTATTGTAGCAACAACTGTTCTACACAACGCTTCCATACGAGAAAGATTTGAAAATCCAAATGTTGATGCATATAATGCTATCCAACAATTGCACAATGCTATAAATATTCATGATCAGCGGCAAAATTTATTTCTGGACTATTTTCATAGGTAATATGCATTTATTATTAAAAATAATGCAATTGAGGCATTTTAATCAACACTTCAATAATTTCAGATTAATTTAAACCGTATTATAAGATACTTAAGTCTCAAGGCAGCACTGGATCAATACATGTGAAATATGATAGCAAGTATAGTGCTCTCTCAGAGTTAATAACAGAACGCAATAATAAGAGTATTTTCCACTATCTTAGAATAAGTAATAACTAAAACTAAATAATAAAATAATATGTATGGCGTTTCCATTTTTACAAAAATAAATACATGTTTAACGCATTCTTAGTGTTTCTTGACATACGTATGTTACTACGTTAATAGAACAAAAAATTAATCTATATAAATAAACATAAATATGCAAACAAAAACATTTACGTAAAGAATATTTTATGTAAAAAAAGTAACTTAAATTTCTCAAATAATGAACCTCATGTAAAGACTAATACTAGTACTTAAAATATTTTAATACAGTCTTATATTAAAGCTAATTGTATCGTGAAACTATTTTAAGACTGTTACTTATAAGATTGACTCATGGTTTTCAACCATATAAAAGGAAAAGTTCTAATTAAAATATACTTAATTTTATAAAGAAATAAATCTAAAGAAATATATTGCGAAAAATAAAGTTTAGCACTTTGGTTTAAGTTTACAGAAATAAGTACCTCTACTTTTCCTCTTTTTATGTTTCCTTTGTAAGTGACGTTTTTAATATTTTCACTTTTAGCTGCTCTTGTTCTAATTTCTGTTTCAATATTTCAACTTCGTAGATATTTTTGACTTCTATACTTGATTTTAAAGTGTTTGTTAAGTCAATTTTTGCTTTTTCTAATTCACAGCTTTCTTGATATCTTCGTTTCTTACATCTTTCTTCTATTGATGTCACCACATTTTCCTTTAAAGGAAGACTTTTCTCTGAATTAATACTGTTACTTGAAGAACAACTGTCCTGTAAAGAACGACTTTCCTTTAAAGGAGTACTTATTTTCGATCTTAAATTTTTAATACTGCAACCCTGCCAGTTTTTAATATTATCATTTTTCTGCAAATACTGAAAACTTAAAGCATATAAATTACTGAAAATTCGTATACATTGCATATCTTAGTAACAGTTTACTTACTGTAAACACTTCAACTGAATGATCACAACTACTGTCATCTTGTAATAATTCCTCGACATTAGCGTTTTCATTAATTGTAATAGCATCAGAATCAAACGGATTGCATAATCCAGATACTGCGGCTTTTGTCATCATTTCTCGAACTTTTTCTAATAAAGGATTTGGTTTTATACTTGGAAGACCTCCACCTACAAATAAAATAAGGATTTAATCTACATAGCTAATACAATACAAAAAATACAATACAAAAAAATAAAAAATACAAAAACAATACAATATAATAAAAACTTTTACCTGTTTTATACAATTCTCTCTGTAGCTGTGCACAATATTTTTTGGTGTCTCTTTTTAAATTATCCCAACACAGACGTAAACATCGTTCTGTTCGTTGCTGTATTTCTGGTTTATTTTTATTAAAATTTATAGTTACGTTGGCCCATGCTTCTTCTTTTTCTCTATTACTCGTCATATTAGTTACTTTATTTTCAATTATATGATGATATGTTGATAATTCTTTTACCAGTTGTAATTTTTCATCTTTGGTAAAATTTTTGCCTCGTACTTTATTTCCCTTGTCCATTTTCTGAAAGTATAATTTTTTTATGAAAAATATAATACTTATAATTTATAATTACGTATACTTTTAACTGCAGTTATTCATTTTACATACTTTGTTATTATTATCTTCTCTCCGGCAATACACGGTTCTTCACAGCAAATCGCCATCCACGGACCTTGCTTCACAGAAAGAAAATAGGTTACGATCAGTTTTATTATGTTCAGCAGTTGGCAACTCTGACAGTTAATCGACCGATTAGATTAAATCACGTTGGTGAAACCGGGCCATAGACAACCATTGCTGCAGATTATGAACTGTGAAACGGCGAAAGAGATGTGGACAACGCTCAAAAGTACTTATGAGCAGGCGTCGAAATCGAATATTATATTTCTGCAACAGAAATATTACAGTTTCAAGAAGGATCCGGGAGATGATATCACAGTTTTTCTCTCGAAGCTCATGGAAATTGTGCAGCAATTGAGGGATCAAAATGAGGTCATTTCCGACTCAATGGTTATGACGAAGATTTTGATGTCATTACCGCCGAAGTACGATCATTTTCATAGTGCTTGGGAATCGACGAATGTGGATGCTCAAACGATGGCTAATTTGCGAGCACGACTGTTAGCTGAAGAACTTCGATTAGGATCACGTGACCAGATTAAAAACGTGGAGGCGTTGGTGGCCAAAAGGAGTTTTTCAAAGAAGAGTGGACCAAGAAAAGGTCTGTCGAGTCAGTCGTCGAACCAGAACAAAAAAAGGGACAATGCTGCCGGAAGTACTAAAAGTGGAAGGCCATGTTGGGTGTGTGGTGAGAAGGGCCACTGGAAACGTGACTGTCCACAAAAGAAGAAGTCAGATGTAAAGGACGGAAATGCATCGACTGATGCACTCGTATGTCATGCATCGATTCCCACATGTGACAAAGATGCTTGGGTACTGGACTCGGGTGCCAGTGATCACATGTGTCACCGTCGTGAATGGTTCGAAGATTTCACCGAGATGTCAGCAAGCGTAACAATTGGAAATGGTGCGAAGATCATGGCACGAGGAAAAGGCAATATAAATGTTTTGGCATTCAATGGCAATGACTGGATTTCGAAGCGGATGTTGAATGTGCTGTATGTGCCGGAAATTCATTTAAATTTATTTTCATCGGGCAAGACCATGGATCACGGGCACCAGTTACGATCAGACAACAAACGCTGCGAATTGCTGAAGAATGGCAATGTGGTCGCAGTGGGAGTCCGCCGAGAGAAGTTGTTTCAGATGTTGCTGAAGGTGATGGAACCATTGAAGAACGATGAGGCCATGGCAAATGTCCCAGTGAGGAATGAATTATCAAAAAGTTATCGATTTGATGTCAAATTGACTAAATCAATCTGCAATCGATTTTTACATCAATTCGATCAACTGGTGGGCACAATTTCGATCTTTTATTGATATCCATATTTCGTTAATAATGATGTATTTTTGATTATTTTACTAGATTTTTAATATAAATTTTATTATATAGGATGACCCAGAACTCGCACATCAGCCGTTTTTGAAATCATTTTAAGAAAAAATTTGAATGCCAAAATACATAAAAAAAAATATATATTATATATTATATATAAAATATATTATAATATATATATATTATATATAAAATATATATTATATATATATATTATAATTTTTAAATAAAAAACATTTAAAGCTGGTCTAAGCGCGTGAACTTAGGCAATCTCATTAACCAACTGTAAATGCTTTTTATATAAAAATTATTATATATCCTTAAGAATTGAGCATTAGAATTTTCGGCTTAAAATGATCTTTAGAAAATGTATGATGTGCAAGTTTTGAATGCAAATACTCTGTATATTTTTATAAATTAAAATCTAAGCAAGAAAAAGTTAAAATAAATGTTTGCAAATGTTTCCAACAAAAAATTAAAGATTAATAAATATTATAAAAACATTTTATATATAAAAACATTTTAACAATTTTTAAAATCATTTATTAAGAAATTAACTGTAGAAAATTTTATTAGAAACAGCGAGAACATTTTATGATTACAAAGAAATCCAATCTAGTTAGAAATAAAACTAGCTAAAATCTAAAATTAGATGTTGTATATAAGATGTTTGCCTCAAAAATAATCTTGATAAATATTTCGTTAACTTATACTTATAATTACTTATACTTACAATATGTACTTATATGTATACTTATATAAAAGAATTTTAACAAATTATAAAGTAACTTATTAATCAAAATGTCATTGTAGAAAATTTAATTTAGACATAATTACAAAGAAAAATCTAATCTAGTTAAAAAGAAAATTAAAATTTAAAATCAGATGTAAGATGTTTGTCTCAAAAATAATCTTCAAATATTTTATTAACTTACTTATAATTACTTACAATATGTACCTATATGTAATATAAGTACATATATGTTACTTATGTGTAACATATATAAGAAAATTTCTCTCATTAATGTATAATAAGTGCATAAATACTAACAATTATAAGTTATGCACTCATATTTAAAACTATATTTAAAATATTTCTCTTAAATAAAATTGCATTTAAATCACAGCAGCATTATATGACTTAGGACAGGCTTGTGGCCTAGTTTCGTAGCAAGAAATAAAAAGAATTAAACAATAAGCAAAAATCAGCCAAAAAATGCAAAGTAGTTACAAGTGTAACTTGAAAAAAGAATCCGTTTTTTATGGTTAAACTGGCTGTATATCTTTTTTTTTCCAATGTAAACTCTAACAATTACTACTAATATAATTACTCAAAATGTTACTATTAATTCAAAATATTACTAATTATTTAGAATAAAATATTATTATTATAACAGAACAGACATTTTTGTACTATAATAACAAAATAAACAAAAAAAACTTTAAACTTTTTGTCGCCAGTAATGATCAGCAATTTATATAAAACTGTATTTCAAAATTACTGCCAGCCAGCGCAGTGTCAGTTATAATTCACGTTACTTTACGTAAACTCAAGTCCCTGGCACTATAGCTATTCTTCCAATACAAAAAAATTCTCTGAAATGTCATCATTAATATACGTCACTATGCAATGCTGATAGTCAAGTTGATCTATATATAACGGTGTGGCTAGTGTCACTAATTTGAAATTATTTAATAATTGCTTTCATTTATAAAGAAATTTTTTGCAAATTTAATAAATTTATTGTTTACAGTCGTTTATATTCTTTTTCAGTTTCACAATGCTTACGTGCGTTGTACTTATAGTTGTCCAAAAAATAAACCGAGCAGTTGACTAGCAGCGGACATTTAGAGAGAATTTTACGGCTATGCCAAGGACCTACGTATAAAATACATTTGCAGCGTTGATAACAATTTTGCGTTGAGCACAGCCTAAGAAAATTCTCTATAGTTGACCTAAAACCGGACTTTTGATTGCCTTTTCTTCATCGTTAGGCATTGATTGTAGATATCAGTTCTCTTCTACACACTGCCATCATGTTATTTACGCCATGGTGCATTTGCAAGCCAAGTACTAGCAACTTTGTCACATACTGTTAAATCTTTTGCTTCAAAGCGTGTCATTAGAGCACCTAAACATTCAAACAAAAAGTATATAAAATAAAAATATAAATAAGTATGACAAAATAAATTACGTGTGCAGTATAGTTCTTAATACAAAATAAATCAAAAATAAAAATGACGTGTATTACCTAAGAAACAAAATGGAATATTAACAACAATAAATTCTTACCTTGTACTAGTTCCCATATCTTAAGATCTTTAAATCTTTGTTTTCCTCGTGTACCATGGAAATTATAATTGTTAGCTACAGAGTTACTTAAAATTTTCGATAGCAATTTTCTGACAGAATTTTCTATGCTTTTTGGGTCAATAAATTTTGCAAAATAAAAGGTCTGGAAATAGAAAATTATTTGTCAAATAAAATAATTATAACTTAAACGTGCACAATAATGTAAACCAGGCCTGTACAACTGAAAAAACATCAATAATGCTGTTTGCATAGGCAACACGCGATACTAAGAGCATTGGTGGACACAATTTTCTTCTTTAATAATTTTCTTTTTAAATAAATTGTATGGTATAAATTGATATAAATTCCGTCTGTAACTTATCTTCTCTTTTGTCATGTTACACTCTTCTCTTCTATAAATTATTTTTATCTAAAAATTATCTTTTTTATCTTAAAATTTAATAGCCACGGCCACAAGTATTATTTTTGACTGCCCGCAATTACCCGAGCAACCAGTTGTGCAGTTGGCTTCAAAAAAATATTAATTATATATTATTGATCTAAACTTACCGCTGCTGATAAATTGTTATCATCTTTAAGAAATTCTTCCATTTGATTCAATTCATGCTCAGTTTCAACTGGAAAAGATGGAAGACCACTAGGGCGTTTAACAACTTTTTCTCCAGGGAGTAAATAACGGTGTAGTTTTTCTTGATTCATAATAAAAATATCCATTTTGCTGTTAATTTGTTTTGTAATTTTCATATTTTCATCTAATTTGTAAATACAATTAGCAAGCATAGTTTGTAGTGATGAATCTTCTGAAATTAATCATAGAAAAAAATGTTATTTTAGAGATATATTATTTAATATTTAAAAAATATATCCAACAGTTATTTTAGTAATATATATTTTTCCATATTAAACATTTTGCTTACTTTCGTTTCCTTTACGTGTTACTGGCTGTAATAAACTAGGACTTAAATGATGAGCGGTATAACTTTCTGTCCCTGAACTTTTTAATGGAGAGGAATTATTATTCTTCCCTGGAGTTTTAAATAAATGACAGTAAGATCCAACAGTTATCTTACAATTAGTAATATATATTTTTTTATATTAAACATGCATTTTGCTTACTTTCATTTCCTTTACGTGTTACTGGCTGTAATAAACTAGGACTTAAATGATGAGCGGTATAACTTTCTGTCCCTGAACTTTTTAATGGAGAGGAATTATTATTCTTCCCTGGAGTTTTAAATAAATGACAGTAAGATCCAACAGTTATCTTACAATTAGTAATATATATTTTTTTATATTAAACATGCATTTTGCTTACTTTCATTTCCTTTACGTGTTACTGGCTGTAATAAACTAGGACTTAAGTGATAAGCGGTATAACTTTCTGTCTCTGAACTTTTTAATGGAGAGGAATTATTA